TCATGCTCTCTCTCATTCTCTCTCTCTCAAATAAATAAATAAAATTAAAAAAAAAAAAAAAAACCTTAGTAAATGAAAGTGTGGTTTTGGTGCACTAATAGGCAGAGTTCCTTGAGCAGACTCAAAAATCCAGAAATTAAAAAAAAGTCCAGAAATAGACACAGTTACATGTGGAAATTTAGTGTACAATGGTGGTGGTATCTCAGTTCAGTGAGATAAAGATGATTTTTTTAAATGTTTAATAAATGGTTTTTAATAAATGGTGTTCCCAGTTATCAACTGGGAAAGGTAAGTTTGGATCCATACTGTACTTTGTATGCCTTGCTAGAACCCAAATGGATTAGACTTAATGTAAAAAGGAAGCCATATAAAAGTTCAAAGAAAAAGTCAAATTCCTTTATTCGATTTATTATGATTTTAGAGTGGGGAAGGCCTTTTAAACTATGACTCAAAGTGCAGAAGCAAAGGGAAAGATTGGTTAATTCAACAACATGAAACACTTCTGCATGGCAAAAACAAAACTCTGTAAAGCTAAGTCATAAGAAATGGCAATCCAGATAAAAACTTTTGTAGTTCATCTTATAGACAAAGGCCTAATTTATCGAAACATTTCTACAAAGAAGGTCACCAAAATTCTTGCCCCCAAATTGGCGAAGGGTATGCATGGACAGGTAACAGGCCTCACTTGTACTAAGGGAGATGCAAATCAAAATCGAATAGTGATACCATTCTTTACCAGGTGACCAGAATCCAAAAGTTTGACAACACTGTGTTGGTGAGGGCCGAGAGGAGCTAAGCAGGCTCATTGGTAACGTCTGCCAAAACTGCACGTGCATTTAATTTAGTGACTAATTCTAAGCATCTACTCCCTAAACCTTTATACACAGTGATGTAAATATAAGATCATTTGTTGTGGCATTGTATGCACAATACTGAAAAAGTATCCATCAGTGGAGACTTAAAACTGGTACATCTGTGTCATTAAATGCTGTGTAGCTTTCAAAAACAAGGTCCTGTTCCATTGTGATAAGGGCTTTAGTATAAAATGGAAAAGCATAGTGCAGAACAGTGTATGATGGGCAGTTTTAAATACATGTGAGTGTGTGTAACTTTTTTTAACTTTTATTTTTAAATAACCTGTACACCCAACACAGGGCTCGAACCCACAACCCTGAGATCAAGAGTCACACACTCCACTGACTGAGCCAGCCAGGCGCCCCTATATTTGTATTTGATTATAAAACAGTGACTACCGAATTCCTTAAATTAAAAAAAAAATATTTTTTTGAAGAATAAGAGACTTGATTTATTTGGGGGATAGGTTTCAGGGAGAGGTATAGGAGTGAAACTTCTCTGTACACATTTTAAAGGTAAATTTTGATTTTGAGTCATAGAAATGTATCATCTTATCCAAAGTCAAAGGAAACACTTTAAAATATTAGGCTCAAAACAGTTTTAAAAATAACTTCTTCAGGGTCTTAAAGCCAGGAAAGAACAGAGTGACTGTTTCAGCTTCAGGACGGACTCCACAAAGTTCCTGCTCCTCCCTGAGGGCTGGCTGCCTTTCCTTAGATGTGGGGAGCCGAGTGTTGGGCTGTGCTCTGCATCTTTATCCTTGATCTTTGTTCCAGGTCTGTGGCCACTGCGCTCTGACCCTAACCGGGAGACTGATGACACTCTGGTGCTCTCTTTTGTGGGCCAAACAAGGTAAGGGTGAGTCTGGCGCCTGCTGCATGCGTTTCCGTGACGGTTACAGGGTGGGAGAGCTGGTCTGGCTGACCCAGGCCTTCCCTTCCCCTGCAGAGTTCTCATGTTAAACGGAGAAGAGGTGGAAGAAACCGAACTGATGGGTTTCGTGGATGATCAGCAGACTTTCTTCTGTGGCAACGTGGCTCATCAGCAACTCATCCAGGTAATGACTCCGAAAGGGGCAAGCCCTGTTGACTTAAATTTGATTTAGAGTGCAGTGTAGAGCACTGCAGGATTTTACCGCAGTCTGTTTTTATGGCTCTAAAAGTAACAGATTCTAGAAAAAAATTTTAAAATTACCTGATAACCCGCCACTCAGAGAAAACAACTTAACAGCTCCTAACTTTGGAGTTATTCCTTTTAGCTTTATTTTTCTTCTGTAAGTATATGTAGTATTTATTTGTATTGTCTTTTACAGACTGGGATCATAATATTTTTATGGTTTGGGGTATCATTTTCGCACTAATTATGCCCAGTTTTCTGAGACATGTGTTTTCCCTTGTTGTACTAATACATACCTATTTAGTCTTAGTGCTCCCGTCCATATATGACTGTTGGCAGCACTTTCCACATTGATTATTAGAACCAGAGCTTTTACTCTGTTCTGATTTTGTTTTAAATCTATATGCGATATGGGGGTCAGATATCCTTTTGGCCCTTGTTAGCCACGAGAGTCTGATTTCTGAGCACCTGCCCACCCCCTGGTTGTTTGAGTTCAGAGTGACTCCTGGCGGTCTTCACTTTCTGCACATTTCTTTAGCCTTTGGAACTTTTCTTAACTGTGGCTAGAGTCAGTGTTTGCTAGTGTCGGGTGTGGTACTTGTGTACTGAGGATTAATGAATCTTGTCCATCTTTTTATCCACTTGGGTCTTCCTTTTAGCCAACAGGCAGTTGTGGATTTGACAAAAGCCAGACGGAACGTTCTGTTGGTTTGTGGACCAAGTGTGGGAGGTGCCCAGTTACTAATGATTCATTGCTTTGAGTTTTTTCTAACTAGTGGCCTGAAGACTGGCACCAGCTCATGTATCTGTTATTAAAGGGTTTTCCTCTTTAAATAGGAGCTCAGCTTTGATAGGGACAATCCTAATTCATCCTAAGATGAATTCATAACGTCCGTTACAGTGTCATCAGCCTGCTTTTTGTTTTATTTCAGTAATGAAATAGATCGATTAAGCATATTTCAAGATAATTTCATAGCCTATACTAAAGAATTTTATTTTTTTGGGATGTCTGGGTGGCTCAGTTGGTTGAGTGTTTGCCTTGGGCTCGGGTCCTGTCCTGGGATCGAGCCCCACGTCGTTGGGCTCTGCTCAGCAGGGAGCCTGCTTCTCCCTCTCCCTCTGCTGCTCCCCGTGCTTGTGCTCAGTCTCTCTCTCTGTCAGATAAATAAAATCTTAAAAAAAAAAAGAATTTTCTTTTTTTTAAGGTTTTATTTTTAAATAGTCACCACACCCAGTGTGGGGCTCGAACTCACGACCCTGAGGTCAAGAGTCGCATGCTCAATCCACTGACCAAGCCAGCCAGACACCCCAGAAGTTTAAATAATTTTAATGGTTCATGCACAGTAAAGAATGTGGCTATTTTAGAGGACTGATTTTTGGGATGAGAAAAACTGCTAGACTGTAGTCACCGGGTCTTCCTCCATTGATCCCTCTCCCAGGACTTCATCAGAATGAAACAGGTTGCCGATAGGTAAGGTGGAAGCGGCCTTAAGCCAGTCTTCTTCGGGACTTCAGCTCAAAATGGCATCTGTCAGAACTAACTGTTGTAGGAGTTTGGGTTTGGGGTAAAACAGGGCGAAGAGGGCTGCCGTAGTTTATTTTTAGGGTTCCACTAGGGCAGCGTTTACCACCTTCCCACTGGTGTGTGGATCCCAGCAGGTGCTCGGAGACCTTTCTCTTCCTTTTGTAGATCACTTCAGCATCTGTGAGGTTGGTCTCTCAGGAACCTAAAGCTCTGGTCGGTGAGTGGAAGGAGCCTCAGGGCAAGAACATCAGTGTGGCCTCCTGCAACTGCAGCCAGGTGGTGGTAGCGGTGGGAAGGGCCCTCTACTACCTGCAGATCCGTCCTCAGGAGCTCCGGCAGATCAGGTGTGTGTTTATCTGTCTGCTCTTTGTCCCCCTCCCCTGTTCTACGGGGCTTCTTTTATCCTCGGAGTCCTTCCTCGGCCATACTCCTCTTTGTTCAGCCACACAGAGATGGAACATGAAGTGGCCTGCTTGGACATCACCCCACTGGGGGACAGCAATGGGCTGTCCCCTCTTTGTGCCATTGGCCTCTGGACAGACATCTCGGCGCGTATCTTGAAGCTGCCTTCTTTTGAGCTACTGCACAAAGAGATGCTGGGTGGAGGTAGGTGGCTTGTAAGGACCTTTGAAGGGTTGGGATCAGTCAGAATGTGGAACAAGATCTTAATGTGCCCCTCTCCCACAGAGATCATCCCTCGTTCCATCCTGATGACCACTTTTGAGAGTAGCCACTACCTCCTTTGTGCCTTGGGAGATGGGGCGCTTTTCTACTTTGGGCTCAACATTGAGACAGGTGAGAAGAACACTTTGAATGGAGGGCCCTCGGAGAAACAAGGAGTGTGGAGTTGCCTTAGCCTCGGGGTACTGCTTTTGAACCTTCACGACCCAGCTGTTTGTCCTGTTTCCTTTCCTTCCTACTTCCTCCTGATGCCATTCTCTCTGTAGGCCTGTTGAGCGACCGTAAGAAGGTGACTCTGGGCACCCAGCCCACGGTATTGAGGACTTTCCGTTCTCTTTCTACCACCAACGTCTTTGCTTGCTCTGACCGCCCCACTGTCATCTACAGCAGCAACCACAAATTGGTCTTCTCCAATGTCAACCTCAAGGAAGTCAACTACATGTGTCCCCTCAACTCTGATGGCTATCCTGACAGGTGAGCCTCCTTTTCTTTCTTCAGCAAGAGCCATTCGTTGAGGGCAGCATGATGTTTTCCTCAAACCCTTTCTCTCTCGCCTTCTCCCAAAGTCGAATCAGTATAAATAGCTGAGGCGGGAGGTGTAGAGCAGAGGTTCTCCCATCTGGCTACCCATCGGAAATCTTTGGGACACTTGAAAAAGTAAGGTGTTTTCAAATCCTACTCCAATTCTGATTCAGTAGATCGGGGGTTTCAGCCATAGAATCTGTATTTTCAGGAAAACCTCCCAAGTGATTCAAATGGTTAGTCAGGTTTCAGAACCCCTGATTTGGAGATCATTCTGTATGCCTCTCGAGCAGGGGTTCTCAAAGTAGGGTCCCCCACCAGCAGCCACCGAACTAGCTGGGAACTCTTTAGAAATGTAAACTCTTCAGGCCTTCAGGGGGAGGGGACTGAATCAGAAACTCTGGGGGTGGGGCCCAGCAGTCAGCTTTAACAAGTGCAAGCACGCCTGCTGATTCTGATGCAAATGATGATTTGAGAATCACTGTTCTAGATTCTAATGCTGCAGTTAGCATTAAATAGAAAGCAGTTAAAAACCTCAGTTGAGGCTCACCCAGACCTGTTCAATAAGATGGGAGGTAGCAGTGGGACCAGGCATCAGAATGGGTCACGTCTCCCCAGGTGATTCTTAGCCTGGAGTCAGAGGTGAGAGCCACTGCCTGGAGGAAGCTAGTGTAATTCTGCCTTGTTTTTCTTCCCCTTACGGAGCTGCCTCATAGAATCCTTTCCTTCCTTGGGTCTACTCAGTCTAAACCCAGACCCTTCTTTCCAGCCTGGCACTGGCCAACAACAGCACCCTCACCATCGGCACCATCGACGAGATCCAGAAGCTGCACATCCGCACGGTTCCCCTCTACGAGTCTCCCAGGTGAGGGCCAGGGGAGGAGGGCTGCAGAGCGCCGTGGTCTGGGTGTTGGTGTGAGGTGCTTCCCCTCTCAGAGCTGTGCTGAGAGGCACTGTCCACGCTTGCTCCCCAGGAAGATCTGCTATCAGGAAGTGTCCCAGTGCTTCGGGGTCCTCTCCAGCCGGATCGAAGTCCAGGACACGAGTGGCGGCACAACGGCCCTGAGGCCCAGTGCCAGCACCCAGGTGAGGGCGCAGACAAAGATGGCGTTGGAGCAGGGCTGGCAGACTGTTCTGGAAAGGGTCACGGAACAGGTATGGCTTTGTCAGCCATACGGGAACTACTCCGGTTGGCCGTTAACAAAAGCCACCGTAGTCAGCAGGTGGGATAGTTGGGTTCCAGTCACACTTTATTTGTGAACACAGGCAGCGAGCTGGATGTGGCCCCCTCTTTGGAGGGTTGGGAAGAATTTGGGGTAAGTGTGGCAGTCAGTGATTTCTGCTACTCCATAGTCTTGCAGGATGAATAATTCTCTTGTCATCAATTTGGACGCTTTGTAGGGTATGTGTAATTGGGGAGAGCATAGCGTTATAGGTAAGAGGTGGGATTTGGAGTCTGACAGAACTGGCTTCAAGGTTTATCGCTAGTTGTGTGACCTTGGGCAAGTCTAAACTTCAAATTCCTCATCTGTGCAATACAGAGGATAGTAGGGCAGTCTACAGCCCCACAGAGTAGACTCGGTGGAGATATTAGCTGATCATCTTAGGTCACGTATTCTTTGTTTTTCTTGCTCCCAAACATCTGTGGTGGGACATCTTTCCATAATCCAGAATATACAGTCTTTACACTTTTCTTTTTATTTCACGTGCTCCCTGCTTTTCCCATCGAGCAAGGTGGAGTCTCTCCCCTTATTAGGTTGCCGTAGTTCTTCGTTAGCTTTGATTGACTTGGCATCACTGTTTTAATGGTCATTAGTAACCCTTAGATTTTTCTATTTTGGACTGCTGTGTCAATTTTATACAGAATTTGGCTCCTTATCCTCAGTCCCTGAGCCCTGTCCTCCAGAGCTCTCTGTTCTTAAGGCTCTGCTTGAGCTGCCAACCTTGAGTTTTCCTCGTTCAGACTCAGCTTCTGTTCCCTGATCCTGGCTGACCCCTTCACCCAGATGCTCCCAGCACCTGGTCTGCTTTTGAGAGGGGGTGTGTGTTCTCTGTGCTCAGGCCCTGTCCAGCAGTGTCAGCTCTAGCAAGTTGTTCTCCAGCAGCACAGCACCGCACGAGACCTCCTTTGGAGAAGAGGTGGAGGTGCACAATCTCCTCATCATCGACCAGCACACCTTCGAAGGTGCAGATGAGCTCTTCCTATCATTTTTGTGCCTACGGCCTCCCTGAACTAGCCTGTTCTGGGCTCTGACAGATTCCATGGTTTGGTAGACCTTGTGACAGACCATCCTAGGAGGAGTCGAAAGGAGGGGTGGAGACCTCTGGGTTGGCCAGGAGTCCAGGGTGCTGGGCCTCCTCCTTTCAGCGCAGGCTGGTGAGGGCAGGACAGGCTGAGGAGACAGGAGCAGCCGGAGCTGGTGCCCCGCCACCACCCACACCTTGCTTGGACCCGGGCTGGGGCCCCCCCGGAGTACAGGGTTATGTGTGCGTGGGGGTCAGCAGCCAGTCACGCCTCCGGCTCTCCTTCCAGTGCTTCATGCCCACCAGTTCCTGCAGAATGAATATGCCCTCAGCCTGGTCTCCTGCAAGCTGGGCAAAGACCCCAACACGTACTTCATCGTGGGCACAGCCATGGTGTATCCTGAAGAGGCGGAGCCCAAGCAGGGTCGAATCGTGGTCTTTCAGTATTCTGACGGTAAGTGGGCACAGTCCCCAGCTTTTGAGAGATTTGAAATTCTGGGAAAGTAACAGACCGTTTTGGTTTCGGAGCTTTTATTTAAGCAGTGGAAGAGCTTGGGTTAATTGCTGTGACACGAGACTTTCTGTTCCTTCCACTCAAGCTGCTGACGGTCTGAATGAGTTTTGGGGGAGGGGAGCGAGCAGACACATGAGTAAAATCTGGCTTGAATTTTTTCCTTTTCTACTCTTTGAAAGGAAGATGAAGGGAGAGGTGAACTACTGGTAAGAGAATCTAGTGGCCAGGATCAGAGGAATCCTAGATTTGCTTTCCACTTGGTTGCTCAGCCATGTAGGTCTTCTTTCTAGCTTTAGCACTTCATGTTCGTATCTGTTTCTTCTCAATTCCCCTATGCAAGATGGTTCTAAAGACTCTGTCAACCCCCAAATCTCAGCTCAGATGGGCGAGGTGGAATTTGGTCTCCATCTTGAGAGTTGGGTCTGCAGGTTTGCAGGGGAGGCAGCCCTTGGACACAGTCTGCAGTCCCTGCACATTCTGTTGGGGCTCATAGTTGTGGTGATGGTTAACCGCAGTAGACACTGACTCTATTTCCTGCATTCAGATGCGTGGTTTGGGAGCAGGAATTAGAGCCAGAGAGGACATCAGGATTCTTTTGATGAGTTGAAGTGTGGGCTCATAAAGGAGACTCAGAGTCTATCTTTCTCCCCTCAGGAAAACTACAGACTGTGGCCGAGAAGGAAGTGAAAGGAGCCGTGTACTCCATGGTGGAGTTCAACGGCAAGCTCTTAGCCAGCATCAACAGCACGGTGAGGCCCACACCGCTTGGTATCCCACCCTCAGTTGCACACCACTGTCTACAGAACATGTCTCCTTTATGTTCCCTGGGGCCACGTATGCGTTAGATTTTAAGAATGACAGAGTGGTGGGAATGGAGGGTGGAGCTGGGAGTCCGGGGAGCTCAGGTTGGCCCAGATGTTAGCCTTGGTTACGGGAGACCCCCGCGGCGAATCAGACCCTAAGTGCTGTGGGTGTTGAGGAAAGGGTAAGAGCCATGGCCCCCATACTTCCGAGTGTGTCGTTGTGGGGGACTCTTTGATCTGTGTGGAACGAGGTGAGCCAGACCATGTTCTCTTTTTTTTTTTTTTTTTTATTTATTTTTTAATTTTTTTTTATTCTTATGTTAATCCCCATACATTACATCATTAATTTTAGATGAAGTGTGCCATGATTCATTGTTTGTGCAGACCATGTTATCTTAAGTATGTCCCTGAAACACTGGTCCCATGAAAGTCTGCTTCTCTTCTGCCGTGATTCCTCCTCCCTTGCAAAAAGGTTTTAAAAAGTTTCATAGTCAGATATATTTGGGAAATAACCGTGTCCTGCATGCCCTCTTGGAGCTCCCCAGTGCATTGTGGGATATTCAAGGTGCTGAGAAGTCAGGGAGTGAAAAAGCATCAATTAAATACTTTAAATTGAAGCTTTCCAGTAGTCGTGTTTATTCACAACCTAGTCATTGAACACTTGTGTGCCGGGTGCTGTTCAGGTATTGAGATATAGCAGTGACAAAATGGACAAAGAAAATGGACTATTTGCTCTGGGCTTACGAGCAAATAGTAAATATATGTTCTCAAGATGGTGAGAAATAAAAATGGGGCAGGGACTAGAGGAGTGTTAGAAGGAGGACATAGTGGGGATGGCTGTTTTGTCACAGGGTCGGGGTTCTTGCTGATACAGTGACTTCTGGGCGGGTTCCTGAGAGAAGGGAGGGAGAAGCCAGGGGCAAGCAGTGGGAGGTGGGAGTGAGCCGGAGGTGCAGGGAGAGATCAGTCGGCAGCCAGGGGACTGAAGGCACTGGCTGTTTAAGGACTTTGGGTTTTACTCTGAGGATGATGGAAACTTGTGGAGGGTTTGAGCAAATGTTTGGAAGTGATTGGACTTCGGTCCTGGAAAGATCACTTTACACCTTGGAAAAGGCTGGAGGGGCCCGAGGGCAGAAGTGGTGACCACATCGGTAACGCAGACAGCAGCCTCCGGGCGCTGCTGGAGGAGGTGAGGCATGGTCCTCTTCTGCGCACATGAGCCCCGAGAGACTTCGGTGCTACACAGGAGACGGGCTGGGGGCGGGTGGAATAAAGGACTGAGAGTTTTGGCCTGAACAATATGATGGGTGGCATGACCATTTACTGATGGGGTAAGACTGAGTAGAGCACGTTTGGAAGGTAAAAGGAAATGCTTCTTTACTCCAAACACTTGTGACACCATATGTGTGGGGTTTTTATCCCCACCCCAACCAGTTTTCCGACTCTTGACACCAACTGAGTGTGCTGTAATTTAATTCACTTCTGACCCTGGCTACCTGGAGTTGGTGTCAGATGTCACAGGTTAAGTGCTCAGTCCCACAGGAACTGTCCTCACCTCAGACATCATCCCAAGCAGTGGCGCTCTAGGGTGCCCAAACTTCTGTCCAACATGGCTACAAAGTTGGGTTCCCACAGTCCCCTCTCAGGTTTGATAATTTGCTGGAACAACTCACAGAACTCAAGGAAATGTTTACTTATATTTCCTGGCTTATCATAAAGGGTACAGGCGAATAGCCAGATGAACATCAAGTGAGGTCCACAGGGGTCCTGAGTGCGGGAGCTTCTGTCCCTGTGGAGTTGAGGTATGCCATCCTCCCAGCGTGTGGGTGTCTTCACCAACCTGAGAGCTCTCTAAACCCACGCTTGAGGGATTTTTATGGAGGCTCCATCACACAGGCCTGATCGATCATTAAGTGAATCTGTGGCCTCTCCCTTCCCTGGAGGATGGGGGAGGAGGGCCGACAGGTCCAGGCTTCTAATCGTGGTGACCAGCCCACATCCTGAGCTATCCAGGAACCACCAAGAACTTCCTCATCAGAACAAAGGACTCCTTTCATCCAGGGAATTCCAGGGGATTGAGGGGCTCAGTGTAAAACGCTGCTCACACTTAGGAAGTTACAAGGGTTTTCGGAGCTCTGGGTTAGGAACTGGGGGCGGAGACCAAATACAGCGTTCTTAGTAGGTCCCGGTGGGGAAACCAGAGGCCTGATTTTGGACATGTGTCAGTCGTTTCAGTCGTCAGGGTGGCTGAAGATGTCAGGGTGGTCGCTGGGGATTGGCGGGGCAGCGGTAACGGCATGGCATTTAACATGCCAGCACTCTGGGTGGGGTGGCCTGAGCTCCCCTGGGCGCTGAGAGCAGGTAGAGGAGAGATGGGAAGGCTGAGCCCTGGGGCCTTCCAGCTTTTAAAAGTTGGAGTGATGAGGAAGATCGCTCCAAATGGAGAAGGGGTGACAAGTAAAGTAGGAGAGGAACCAGGAGAGAAGACTTCTGGAAGCTATGGAAAGAAAGCACTCAGGTAGGAGGGAATTGGTAAATGGCAAGTGCTGCCTGAAGTCAGGTAACGTAAGGATTGAGAGTTGGCCGCAGGTTTTAGCAACGGAGAAGGTGGTGCTACCCTTGACCAGAGCTCCTTTGCTTGAGTGGTGGGGTGGAAAGTTGATAGAAGAAGGTTTGAGTAGGACTGGGAGGTCCATGAGCATTAGAAAACATTTTCGGGGGGTTTTGCGGTGAAGGAGAAGAGAGTCATGGGGTGACTGCGGCGGGGGGGCAGCGGCAGGACAATAGAGTTGTTAGCTTTTCAAGCATGGAAATGCGGCTGCATGTTTCTGTGCTGATAAGAATGGTCCATTAGAGAGGAGGTGCCGGAGCTGTGTTTTTGAATAGACTGATGGGAGGTGGGACCCAGTCCTCCATGTGGGCCTCAGATGGTGGAAGCACGGGAGGTCCTCTCTTGTTTGTGTCCCTTCTCTGTGAAGGAGCCGAGAGGAAGGGTGGAAGTGGAGGTAGCAGAGGTTTGAGGAGGTATGGCTCCTTGTTTTAGGACCTGGAGCGTAAGGGACCGGGAAAGTATCCAATTACTGGGGAGCCTGAGGAGCTCACTGTCACAAGTGGTCTCGAAGTTCAAGTGATCCATTGCTTTTCCTCAGCTGTTGTTGAAGACTAGACTCATGCCAGAGTCTGGTTTTGTCTGGTGAGCAGGATCATGACAGAGAGGGCAGTGGGGTTGAGAATCTGCAGGTTTATGGTGAGGGACTTGGGGCATCTGAGAAACAGTGAAACTGAGGACACAAGATTCTGGAGGTTTTTTTTTTAAAGATTTTATTTATTTATTTGACAGAGAGAGACAGCGAGAGAGGGAACACAAGCAGGGCGAATGGGAGAGGGAGAAGCAGGCTTCCCGCGGAGCAGGGAGCCCGATGCGGGGCCCGATCTCAGGACCTCGGGACCCTGACCCAAGCTGAAGGCAGACGCTTAACGACCGAGCCACCCAGGCACCCGATTCTGGAGTAATTTTTAGTGACAGGCTCTGAGGGGTAACTGCTGGATGGACAAGATAATGCAGGGAAAAGGGAGTCAAGAAAGGAAAGAGGTCGGTATTGAGTCTTCTCTGTGAATGTAGAAGTCACCAAGAATGACAGGAAGGTTGTGTGGGGGAGAGTGGCGGGGTGAGGGTGTGCATGGCTGCTCTCAGGCTGGCGGTGCGGGCGGAGTCTGGGGGGCTGAGCTTCGGGACTGGCACCTTAGGGAGGACGCAAGATGGAAGTGAGAAAGGGCTGGCAGGAAGGGCTGTCTTTCCTCTAGTCCCAGCTGTACGGGGACAGTGGCAGGGAGAAGCCGAGAGGGCCTGGGGTCCTTGTGAAAGAGCCACGCTTGAGTTAGAGCAAGGGGATGGCCCAGTGACCGTGCTCGAGCGGGGGCAGAGCAGTGCACAGAAGTCGGGAGCGTTGGGTGCAAGGTTGGGTAGGAGGTGTCTAGGCCATTGCTGTCTAATGGAAACATCACAGGAGCTCACAGGTGGGATTTTAGACTTTCTTGTCGCCATGTGAATAAAAGTAAGAAGCAGATGAGATTGATTTTAGGAATGTATTTTATTTAACCCAATAGAGCTAAACTATTATTTCAACAAGTAATTAATACAAAAATTATTAGGAGATGTTTTGTGGATATATTTCATAGAAAGACTTCAGAATCTGATTTGTATTTTACACTCATAGCATGTCTCAATTTGGGCTAGCCACATTTCAGGTGGGTTTTTTGCTTTCTTGTCTTTTTAAAAGATTTTATTTATTTATTTGACAGACACAGCGAGAGAGAGGGAACACAAGCGGGGGGAGTGGGAGAGGGAGAAGCAGGCTTCCCGTGGAGCACGGAGCCCGATGCGGGGCTTGATCCCAGGACCCTGGGACCATGATCTGATCTGATAGCAGATGCCTAATGACTGAGCCACCCAGGCGCCCTGCTTTCTTGTTTTTTTAAAGATTATTTATTTTCGAGAGAGAGAGAGCGCACGCACACGTGTGTGCACACACGAGCAGGCAAGGGCAGAGGGAGAGAGAATCCCAAGCACCCTCTGCGCTGAGTGCGGGGCCTGACAAGGGGCTCAATCCCATGACCCTGAGATCAGGACCTGAGCCAAAACCAAGAGTTGGATGCTCAACTGACTCTGCCAGCAAGGCGCCCCCTTTTATTTATTTATTTTTTAAGATTTATATATTTGAGAGAGAGCATGCATGTGAGCTGGGGGAGGGGCAGAGGGAGAGGAAAGGGGGAGAGAGAGAGAATCTCAAGCAGACTCCCTGCTGAGCACAGGGCCCCCCACACAGGACTCCATCCCACGACCTGAGATGAAGACCTGAGTGGAAATCAAGAGTTGGATGGATGCTCAACCGACTGAGCCACACAGGCGCCCCACCTTTCAGGTGCTTCGTAGCTACATGTGGCTAGTGGCTGCCATATTAGGCAGCAGAGATGTAGAGCCTATTGGGTTAAGGGTGGGCATCTTGGGTTTTTGGTAGTGTCTTACCTTGGCCTTGACTGTTTCCACAGCAGATAGGGAGGCTGAGAGTGTGGAGTGGAGGGGTAGTGGGTGTAGCCAATAGCACATGGAACATTTGGCCCCATTTTCACTCCACTGTTAGGCTGGGCTTAACAAAGATGGGGGGCTCTGGTCACCCTTGACCCTGCCGATGGGAGGTGTGGTAGCCAATGTAATTGTCATGCATAATTCTTGGAGGGCGCCCCGTTGGAGTTCGGGTTCTTTACAACCCTGAGAAATCATGGCTTGATACATTCTGGCCAGGAGTTCCTGTGTGTGCAGAAGCCATGGGTGGGACCACCGGGATCCTGAAGAGTCTGCCAGGGCAGGCTTCTCCAGGGGGTTGAGTCTGTCTTCCTCTGACTGGTATCTGTGGGTCTGTCCGCTGATTGTAAAGCATCTTCGTTGGTTTGGAGGTGTGGTCGTAACTGAAGAAACATTGCGGAGGAGAAGTCAGAAAGGGGGAAGAAACCCTTTGGTGGAGGGGTGGCTACAGGCTCGTGCTTGAAGAGTCCTTTAGCTGTTTGACAATGTTTCTGTCGGAATTTCCATTCCATTTGCTCTACTCAGTGGGTTCACGTCAGAATGTTCTGGGACCGTATATTTTGAGAAGGGTTCAGAAAAGACAGTTCATTTGGAGGTGCTCTTGTTCCTTTCTGATCAGGAAACTGGAGATGGATCTTCTTTTTTCGGAAATATTTCTGTAGGTCAGTTATCCTTCAGTCACAAGAAGACCATCTTTTGTCGTGTCCTTAGTATTGCGCCACTAGTATTTTTTACACTGACTCATTTTTTATGTAAAGGGAAACTGTGTTACCGGTTTGATGTGCTTGCTCTATTTTCATATTTCATAAATGCATAATACCAAAATAAAAAAACATTCACGCAAGTACCACGGCAAACCATGTCACATCCCATGCTGCACTTCGGGAAATGGTGCTGCAGATGGAGGAGAGAGGAGACTCCCAGCGGTCAGTCCAAGAGGATTTGGCCCCTGGGATTGAGAGAGACGAGATGTCCTTCCCAGGTGCGGCTTTATGAGTGGACAACAGAAAAGGAGCTTCGCACCGAGTGCAATCACTACAACAACATCATGGCCCTCTACCTGAAGACCAAGGGCGACTTCATCCTGGTGGGCGACCTGATGCGCTCAGTGCTGCTGCTTGCCTACAAGCCCATGGAGGGGAACTTTGAAGAGGTAGTTGGGGGGACGGGGGCAGACTTACACTTAGGACGTGGCTCCTGCAAGTGTTTCTCTGGTGGTGAGGGGTAATCAAGCCCCGGGGGGGGGGGGGGAGGCGGGGCAGAAGGTTTTTCCTGGAGCATACATTCTGCATTGATGAGGTATTTTCAGAGACCTCCTCCCCCCAACTTGAATCTGAGTAGGCTCCATTTCTGGGCAACTGCAACCAAATGGGATGTGTTGGCCGGAAATCGGGGGTAGAATCCCCGTAGAGTGGCGGTTGTGAAACACGGAGCTGCATCTTCTGCGGGGCAGGCTCTCGGCTTCCGGCCAGAGACCAGTCCCAGACCTGGCTTCTGGGCAACTGCTGATTATATTTTCTTGTACTTTATCTACTTTAAGATTGCTCGAGACTTTAATCCTAACTGGATGAGTGCTGTGGAAATCTTGGATGATGACAATTTCCTGGGGGCTGAAAATGCCTTTAACTTGTTTGTGTGTCAGAAGGATAGGTGAGTGGCCGGCTTGGGCAGGGCGGGCCCCCGGGTCTGGTGATGAGGACGTCGGGTGCCCTCGCAGGCGTAGGTGCTCCTCCTCGCGGAGGTAGAGTTCTTTCACGAGGGAAAGAGGCCGCAACAGTCAGCTTCTCAGACCGCCTCTGCCACTGTGGGCTCACCAGGGAGGCCGAGCACGGGGTGTCCGCCGCATGGGGTCCTCGCCGGGGCCCCGTGGTGGGGACAGGAGGTGCGGGCAGTGAGTTTCGCACACTGCCTTTCAGCGCTGCCACCACCGACGAGGAGCGGCAACACCTCCAGGAGGTCGGTCTCTTCCACCTGGGCGAGTTCGTCAACGTCTTTTGCCACGGCTCCCTGGTCATGCAGAATCTGGGCGAGACGTCCACCCCCACACAGGGCTCGGTGCTCTTCGGCACAGTCAACGGCATGATCGGTAAGGCTAGCCGCTGCAGGGTGCCCTCCCACGCAGGCCCCTTCCCTCAGCAGCATTCTGAGGGACAGGGGCGAGCAGCTGGACGCCGCCTCGGAGTTGACTGGCAGAGGTGCCACAAGCTCGTCCCGCCCCGCGCCGCTTTCCCGGGCTGCCCTTGGTAGAGGCAGCTCGCTGTGGGCTCCGCGCTCCGCAGCTCTCTGCAGCTCCCGGCTCCCTTTGCTGCTTCAGGGCTGGTGACCTCACTGTCAGAGAGCTGGTACAACCTCCTGCTGGACATGCAGAATCGACTCAATAAAGTCATCAAGAGTGTGGGCAAGATCGAGCACTCCTTATATCCTTCCCAAGAGGCATGTCCCAGCACAGGTAGACCGCCGCGTTACCCTAAGCTGCCTCTGGAAACTGCGGTCCGTTCAGGAAATGTCTTGACTAGCTTCCTGTGGGGAACAGGCTTCTGTCCTGTTTTTTAAATATACTTTTGCTCATGGAAAAATTCAGACACGCTGGTAGAGAGAATCGTATAGTGAATCCCCGTGTACCGCCACCGAGCTTACCTGGTTCATCTTGGAAAGGTTCTTTTTTTTTTCAAAGATTTTTGTTTTATTTATTCAGTTGACAGAGACACAGAGAGAGAGAGAGCATGAGCAGAGGGGGAGGGAGAAGCAGGCTCCTTGCTGAGCCAGGAGCCTGATGTGGGGCTTGATCCCAGGACCCCAGGATCATGACCTGAGCGAAAGGCAGATGCTTAACCATCTGAGCCACCCAGGTGCCCCTGGAAAGGTTCTTGAAATACGTCTGCCTGTGGTCTTTCTGGCCTTACACATCAAACGGGAAGTGTGGATGACCACGTTAGGAACATACTTTCAGAGATCTTGTTGGGGACAGCAGTGTCTGAGAACCCTTGTGAGAAAGGCTAGTGGAAGAAGAGGGGAAAAGTGAAGAAGCCGGAAAATCCAGAAGCCCAGGGATCAGCCCCCTGCCCCGGGACACCCAGGATCCAAGTATTGCTGGACATTTGCTTGTTCCAGGAGATGGAAGGGGTCCTCCCCAAGCAGGGGGTGGGAGGGCTCCTGCTCTCGCCTGGGAGGGAGGCGATGGGCTGATGTGTTGGCTCTGGTCCCACAAAGCCTCAGTTTATTCACCTGTGAAGGTCAAGTCTAGACTTGGGAGCATGGTTCTTCCTAGGCGTGTACATCTGACTACCTGGAGCACTTGTAGAAAATGTCCATATACGTCCAGGCTCTACACTAATAAGGAGGGTCTGATCTGTAGTTTTTGTTTTTTGTTTTTTTTTTTAAAGGTTTTATTTATTTGACAGAGAGAGACAGCGAGAGAGGGAACACAAGCAGGG